GGGTTTCACCATGTTGACCAGGATGGTCTTGATCTCTTGACCTCGTGATCCACCCGCCTGGGCCTCCCAAAGTGCTGGGATTACAGGTGTGAGCCACCGCGCCCGGCCAAAATCTATTTTAAAGGCATCTGCAACATATCTGCAGGCCAGATTTCTCCTGGTCCTTTGGCTACATGAGGGGTCCGGAATGACAACCTCACTCAGAATAGCAAGTGTGGACAGTTTCCAAGCAGCAGTCGCCCAGCAGCGCTCTTCTTCAAGATGAAGCTCAGAGTCGTGACATTAGCCTAGCATCTTCTCTTTCCAAAATTTTCTGAGTCTGATCATCAGGGAACTTCAGTACAGTGGTTATAACTTTTGCCATGGTCTTAGTCTCAGGAACCATCAGATACTCAAAAAGCGCTTTTCAGAAATACTCAAACTCGGTAGGTTCTCCAAAGAGTGATACGTCAGTATAATACAAATTTCCACCTTTGTAAGGTGTCCCCACAGTTGCATATACGTTCTTTTCATATTTCTTCAAATGGTCTTCTAAATTGTGAATCTGTTCTTGGAACTCTTGCTCTTTCAATTTTGAATCACTGATTAAAGTCGTCTTCTGTGCTAGCTGTGTCTGTAGCTCCATAATTGTTTCATTATCATTGCCAGGGTTCTCCTCCTGCTCTAGCTTTTGCTGATATTACTTCTGCAGCTCCTCAAGTTGAGTCTGCAGGTCCATTACTTTGGCAGTCATTTCTTCTTCATGAGCATCAAGAATTTCTTCATATCTTTCGGCTGTTCGTTTTAGATCATCATCTTTCTCAGCAATTTTTTTAAGTAACTGATTTGTCTCTTCTTGATGGCTTTCTAAAAGTTCAGCCTCCACGTCCTGGGCCTTATTGATAGCTTCTTTTATGGTCATTTCCAGCTCTTGTTCCTTTTGTGCCAGCTGAGTATTAAACTCCCTCATCAGCTGTTTTAATATGGAATTGTGCTTCAGTTCAAGATCTTCCTGCTCCTGTTTGATTTTCTCTTCCCTTTCTTGTTCATATTCTTTCTTTAGTATTTCCAGTTCTTGCTGATGCTCCTTTCTCAACATTCGAAGGTCTTTCTGAAATCTAACAATCTCCTTGCCCAGTTTCTGTTTCTCCCCATTCTGCCCCTGCTAATTTAAATTCCAGGTCATTGTGCTGGCCTTCCATGTTACTATGCAATTTGGATTGGACCAAATGTGATTTGGATTTTTCTTCAGTGTTTTCCTCCAAAAGTTCTGTGGGTTTATTTTTTCCATCCATCTGTTGTTGTAAAGCCTGTAATTTTTCATATTTTGAGGTCACCTCTTCCATTTCAACTCTATGTCCTTCTTTCTGTCTTACTAAGCAGGAATCCATCTCTTTTATCTTTCGCTCCAAGATCTGACAGGTTAGTTCCTTCTCCTGGAGGATTTTCTGAACATCATCAACCACATTTTCCAAGTCTTGCTTTTCCTCTGTGTTATTTTTACCTCCCCCTTCTTCCACATGTTGGGATACTATCAAGGAATGTTTCTTCTTCAAGTTCTTCTTGAAGATGATCTATCATAACTTGATCTTCACATTGCTTTGCTTCACCATGTTCTAGCTTTATTAAGACCTCCTGGTATTTGCATTACATTTCAGAATGAGAAGAAATTGTCTCTTCTTTTTCTTGCTCCAGCACCTGCAATGGTTTTTCTTTTTCAGTTAAATTTCTTTGTTAAACACTTCTGCACACAATCTTGGGAATCTGCTTCTTGGTCAGTACATGCTGCCACATTTTTTGCTAATCTGGGTACAATTAATGTTTCTGATTGTGAACTTTTCACTGATTTAAGTTTTTCTTCCAAGATGTGAACTTCCCTTTCTCCTTCCTGCAATTTTGCATTTAGCTCACTCAAATGGCTTTCTGTTCTGAAATACTGTTCTTCTTTCTCTTCCATTTGAGATAACAGCTGCTTCTTAATGGCAGCAATTTTTGGTCAGCTTTTTTCTTCAACTCTGCTAATTTTGCAGCACTGTCTGACTCAAGCCTATCTTCCAGTACCTTTAACTCCTCTTCTTTGCTTTTCACACTTAAATTCAATTCTTTCTTCTTAGTTTCAATTTCAGCTTTCATGGAAGCAACTTGCTTTTCAAGTGTTAAGACCTTTTCTTCAGCTTCTTTAACCCTGTTGTCCTTTTCTTCTCCTAACTCTTGAAAATATTCAAGTTTCTGAACCAATTCTTTGTTTTCAATATCCTTTTGTTGACTGTAATTTTTAAGAACTTCATTTAAGGACTCTATTTCAGTAGTTTCTGGGTAATATGGTCCTCTAATTCCACAATTCATGCTGTTTGATTCTTTAACTCTTTCTAAATTGCACTCCTTTTTCTCCATCTTGTTCTTCTTATCTTCCATTTCACCCTTTAAACAATCAAATCTTTTGTTTTGCTGATCAAGGTCTTCCTTCAATAAATTCATCTGCTCATCCTTTTCATGAGCTTCCTTTGATTTTAACTCGAGCTTAATCTGCAATTCTTTAATAGTGTTTTGATACTGTGTAAATCTTGACTGTGCTTTCTTCTTCCATTCTGAGAATTTGTTGGACCAGTGATCTACCTGCTCAAGAACAGAAATTTTCTCTTTACTCAGAGTATCAACTTTCAAAGATAAATTTTGTACCTGATCCAGTAATTAATGTTTTTCTTCATCATACTGCTTATTTAGTGATGAAATGGCTGCTTCTTTTTTGGATAGGCTGGTACTATTTTGAAGTTGAATGTTCAAATCAGTTGTTTACTGAGACTGCTAATCTCAGATTTTCTTTAAGCTCTTCTTTCATCAATGTGACAGCATTGATGTTTTCAGATATCTCTTTCTTCAACTGTGTTATACAAGATTCCTTTTCAGAAGCAGCCTCTTGCTGATTGCCCCCTTCCTTCTGTAAGTCTTCTTTTTCTGTTATAATACTTTCAATATCAGCCTTCATGCTCTTAATTTGATTTTCTTTTTCTTCTAACTGATGAGTAGCTTGTTGAAAATAAATATTTAGTGTGTTTTGCTCCTCTGTCAACTAAGTTTTGCTTCTAATTCAGAAACTGCAAGTTTTTGTTTTGTTTTGTTTTGTTTTTTTGAGACGGAGTTTCGCTCTCGTTACCCAGGCTGGAGTGCAATGGCGCGATCTCGGCTCACTGCAACCTCCGCCTCCTGGGTTCAGGCAATTCTCCTGCCTCAGCCTCCTGAGTAGCTGGGATTATAGGCACGCGCCACCACGCCCAGCTGATTTTTTGTATTTTTAGTAGAGACGGGGTTTCACCATGTTGACCAGGATGGTCTCGATCTCTTGACCTCGTGATCCACCCGCCTCGGCCTCCCAAAGTGCTGGGATTACAGGCGTGAGCCACCGCACCCGGCCAAAACTGCAAGTTTTAATTAACAGTGCCTCCTTAACTTTAGCTGTATGGTGCTGACAATGAGAAATCCGAGAGAGAATGACATTAGTTTTACTACTACTAATGTTGATTAGCTTATTTGTTTTAGCTTCTAATAAGGCTCCGGTTCTCTTACAGCAAATATCTAGCTGAATCGCTAGTTCCTCGGAGAGTTTTTTAAATTCCAAGCTCTTGTCCTCTAGGCTTTTATTACTGCTTTCATGTGAAGATTTCAAACTCTGGAATTCTTCATCTGTGGTTTTCAACTTGCTAGTCAACTCAGAAACCTTCCGCTTATCTTCTTCTGCCAGCATCTTCAGTTCAACTAGCTGCTCTTGAAGAAAAGTAATTTGCTGTAACAAGATGTTTTAGACCGGATAAAAAAGAAAAAATAAATAAAAAGAAAAGTAATTTTCCTTCAGAGAATTATTCAAGTCAACCTCCAGCTTTTCAAGGTGAGCTTTCAGTTTAGTTTCATCTTGTGCTAGAGAATTCACATTGGGCAGACTTCTGCTTCAACTGTTCCTGTAATTCATTTAATGTTGTATCCTGCTTAATACGTTTTTCCTTCAGCCATGTTATTTCCTTGTTCATCTCTTCTTTTTCACACCCAAATAGGAGGATCTTTTGTTTCAGTTCTGCTACCTCTTGTTCTTTTTCCTGTGATTGGATTTCCTGTATTTCCTGAAGTTCCTCAGCTTGCTGATTAAGTTTCGTTTCCCAGACTGATACTACATCATTGAGTTCTCGTCAATGAGCCTCATTAAGACTTTCTATTTGCTCCTTTTGGTTTGTTTCCAGTCTTGACATTGCATTACTGATTCCAGCTGAGTTAGCCTGTGCCATTTCCAGCATTTTGGCATTAAACTGTTTTTCTTTCTGACTAAGCTCTAGAACAGTATTTTCAAGCTCTTTCTTAAGTTTGGCTTCCTGATCCAATAATTTTTTCTTTAACGTTTCTTCATCCCCTTTGCTTTCTGCTTAATTTTTTCCATCTTTTTTTCTTGGTTTTTAAATTTGGTTTCATATTCCTCATTCAAAATATGGATACTGTCCTCTTTGGCTGACAATTTCTGTGTGAGTACCTCAATTTCTTTCTTCTGTCCTTCTCTCATTTGTAAAATCATATTTTCCTTTTCCATCAAGATTTGCTTTGTCTGTTCCTGTTCTCTGTTACTATCTTCAAGTTTAGATTCATAGACTTGGTTTAAAGCTTTTACTTTTTGTTCCATTTCACTATTCTGTTTTTCAAGTTGCAAGACAGATAATTTAAATTAAATGTATAAAGACCACCAAACGTAATTTCAGCTTTTTAGAGATTGTTTACTTTTAAAAGAAATTCTGAAATATAAAGTTTATATTAGAACATTTAATAGAAGTTTTTTATGATATAGAATATTATCTGATTTTTTGTAGATGTAGGGGACAGGGATAATATTTTTGGTCTAACCTTGTTAAGCATTTCTTCCTCCAGACTCAGAGGGGCTTACATTTTTAATTCCTGGAATTCTATTAGTTAACCTGAAGAGTGAGGGGGGCTAAGATTTACAATGTGGAAATGAAACCAAGGTATAATTGGAATTTGGGGGTATATATTTACTCAATTCATTTCTTTTTTTTTTTTTTGAGACAGTCTTGCTCCGTCATCCAGGCTAGACTGCAGTGGTTTGATCTCGGCTCACTGCAACCTCTGCCTCCCAGGTTCAAGAGATTGTCCTGCCTTGGCCTCCTGAATAGCTGTAACTACAGGTGCACATCACCATGCCCACCTAGTTTTTGTATTTTTAGTAGAGATGGGGTTTTACCATGTAGGCCAGGTCTTGAACTCCTAGCCTCAAGTGATCTACCTGCCTCCACCTCCCAAAGTACTGGAATTACAGGTGTGAGCCATCACACCTGGCCTCAGTTAAATTTAGTACACATACATAGTACTAAATTCAAAAGAAACAACTCTCACCTTTTCTGAAGCTATACAATCACCCTTTTCAGAGACAACTACACTTTCCAGCCTCTTCTGTGGTCCTGAGCAGATAGTCCATGTAAATAGTAGAGTACATTGCCTTAGAGTAGACATTCAAGATTTGAAAGTATTCCTTTAATATCTCATAATTCAGTGTTAGTCATATACCAGTCATTGTGGATATCATCAATAAAAATTTCAGTTCAATTTATTTTCACTGTACCCAAGTGTCTATGTGGAGGAAGGTCTGCAGTGTCCTTGGCCACATTTTAAAAATATGGTTCATTCCGGACTGTTTGCCTGATCTCAGCCTGTTGCACAAGTGATATTGTGGCCTCCCCCACCACCATCACCATGGGATTTTCTTCACCTCTCTCCTTTATTGAATTTCTTGTTTTCTACTCATTTATATTGGTAGAAAACCCCTTCCACTTGCTATCCTTGAAGAGGTAATTTGGAAATAATTCACATGGTTGAAAGGATTTTATTCTACCCTTCTGTTTTTATTGTCTCCCTATTCTTGGCCAGCAGGTTCCTAGGCATGTTTTTTTTTTCATAGTAGATGGGAGAAACACAAGAGGCTGAGCCAAAGCATATTTAAAGTATCTATATCCATTGTAGCCCACCCGAATTCTGTTGACTAGACATATGGCCAAGCCCAACACCAATGGGACAGGGTTGAGCTCTGCCAAGGGCAGACAGTAAGGGAAGAATTGTGGGCAAATACTCTTAAGCTACCAGATTCACACCAACGTTACTGGCATCACTGTGGGTCAACACATTCCACTGTGGGGGCAACTGAACAATAATTAATGATTTCATTGATAATAATTTATTCTCATGACATTAGTCAACTGGAAAACATAAACCTTTACTATAAAAATGTTCCCAGTTGTTACATGAATATATAAAATTTATTTTGTACACATTTAACAATAGCAAAACCGTTGAGTAAATGATTTTATATTGATATTGCTTAAAATGAGTCTTATGTGACTTGTAACGAATGATTAAAGTCACAAAATATGTCTGTTTATGAATAATTGTAGGGATAAAAACAGGAAAAAGAGAAAATATGACCATTTTGGTTTGAGTGAGAAGGAAAATAGAAAGATTTTAGAAGAACATGTCTGTGTGTGTGAGTTTTGGAATTATTTCTACAGCTGTGGACTTCTAGAAAGAATTTACAGTGAATTTTGGGGTGCTCATTCAACAGTGGAAAATTTGTACCTCACTGCCCCATCTCCATAGTACAACTTATTAAACTAAAAGCAAAGCAGTGTGTTCAAAGCAAAGCTGGCCGGGCGCGGTGGCTCACGCCTGTAATCCCAGCACTTTGGGAGGCCGAGG